GAAATATTTGCTAACTTACAATGAGTATTTGAGAGCATCGTCTAGTTCCATAATAGCTGCCTGATTACCACATCTGTAGCAATAGTTAGGTGCACTAAAGATTGTCACTACATTACGATCATGACACCAGTTATAACCCTGTAAATAAATGCAATTAGTAATCATGGAAATATGAATCTTCGTACTAAAGTTAATTGCTTCATTTTTAATTGACAAATTTTCATGAATTTCAATGAAAGTCATGAATTTGATTTCTAGTGTAACATGATGCATGATGTATTTGCATAGTTTGAAATGTGATAAGTCAGGGCATGTTAGATAAGTCATTGGAACAACACTCTTTAATATAAAATTGCTACTAGACAATCATTTTTAACCAATCTTAACAACAAATTGAAGTGCAATGTATGTATCAAAAATAGAACCAAATTCATCATTGAATTCGATTACAAAATGCATACAGGTGCAAATGTACCCCTAAAAGGTATGACGCATATGAGAAGTTTGAACATGATTGGATCTTGAAACAAATGCACATTCAAAAATGCATAATGTATGTGGGAAGTTTGAATCAGTTTTGTCCAGGTATGTCAAAGATACAGGTGTGCATGTGCACAAGCACACAAGTCCCCGTTTTCTGACTTTAACTTCCATGAGACTGATAAGCACCCACAAATAGAGGTAAATGGCTACTCAGATCTCAGTGCAAGTGTGAGTTGCCCAGAGACTTGTTTCTCACCCTAAAATAGTGTATTACTCTTATGTCATTGTGCTCACTATTTCAAATCCATGGTTACAAAGATATAGATAATGACAGCGATGACAGAAGAGAATGGAATCTTAATTTAAGAGACAAAAACAAGTCTTGTGGCTCTCTGAACAATATCTTGGCAACCATTGACACCTCATAATGCCATAATTCCACCTCCATCGAGTCGCGTATAAAATTAATCATTAACCATATATAAATGTTGCTTGGAGAAGATAATACAAGTTACTGTTTTTATACATACCTCCATGACTAATTGATGCGCTCTAGATACAAGTGTAAGCCCGTTACTATGATTGAATGTTTCGGATATATCTTGTCCAAAGGTATAGCCAGCACCTCGAGGTGATATACCCCAACCACCTCTATCATCAGGATCAGACCACAACAAGTCACACATTGGCCCCTACAATACAAAGCACAAACACATTAAATTATAGCAAATCTTTTTCAATTTCTTGTATGTAGTCAACTTTTAGATTGTAAACACAATTTGTTCGGTTTATAAAAATCTCTAGTTGAATATGATAACTAAAGCAGTCTAACATGCAAATCAATCTAGGCAGATCCGAAAGTTGATGACAGGGTCCCTGCAAATTTACAGGCAACATTTTGAGACATGCAAGATATACCAAAATAGGACAATTTAGAATTTTATACAGATGAATTATAAGTCCAAAATTGAAGCGTTACTTAGCCCAAAAGAATGTATGTACCGTACTCGACCGCGTTAGCGCCCATGCCCGGGCAAGCGCCCACCCCCCACTTTTGCGCAATTTTTATATTTGGGGTCACATTCAGCAAAGCGCCCACCCCTTCAAAATGCAACTAATTTAAAACTTGGTCTTGCGTAACGAATCTTGGTAATCGTTTTTATATGATACAGCGTGGATATCGATCGCTGTGAACATGTTGTGAATGCGTAG